TGAGAATTCAAGAATCTGGACCGCGGATCCCGACTTCTGCCACGCACCAAGGGACAATGAACGACCGTACGGCCCCCTCACTATGATAACACGCAAGTGCGGACCGACTCCCCCCCGGGCAGCCTTCATGGAGGCGCATGCGACGGACGGTGGGCACAAATCCAGGCACCGATGTTTACGGATCATCGACGTGGGGGGGACGTTCACGCCTAAACCCCAGTCAAAGCACTCACGTTCAACGCACAATAAGAGATACCAACGGGGCAGGATGTTCAGGAGATCGTGGGGTTGAGGCCTGGCGGCCACTGCCTGCGGGATCGGGCCGACCTCGTCTTAGAAGCTAGCAGCCCCAATCTGTCGTGCGAGGGGAGGCGCTCGACAAAACATGCTTCAGTGCCCGATGATCCCTCGATCCTGGATTATCCTCCTCCTCCACCTCCACGTCGTCTCGCGTTCGCCTCGCACCCGAGAGGCCACAACAACTGGCTGGCGGGCTCGAGCCCTGCTCTCCTCTGGGCGGTGTGGGTTTGTCTCTGTGAGGGCTTTCTGCGCACATCGGCGATGCCATCAGCGGCGCGACTGGGTGACAAGTCTGGGAGCCTGTCAACAATTCTGAATCCCGCTGCTCCGACTTCGCAGTCTTGTCGTCTTGCTTGTAGACAGTGGCAGGTACGGAACTCGCCAACATGACGGTAGATACCCTCGATCTGGACTTGGACTGGACATCGACCTTGCGTCGTTGTCGAACTCTGACGCCTCCTCTTCCTTCTCCTGCTCCCCTCCCCCTCTATATCGCCATCCTTGGTCTCCTCTTCCTCCTCTTTCTCTCTGCTGGTACTCACCCTTTGCGCCATACACCCTGCACCTACACCTCCATAATGGTCCTGCTGCTCCTCTTCCTCCACCTCCCCCTCGGCCTTAATCTCGCGACCGTCTTCACACTTGTCCCCAACCTCCTCCTCCTCCTCCTCCTCCTCCTCCTCCTCCTCCTCCTCCTCCTCCTCCTCCTCCTCCTCCTCCATCCTCGATGTTCCTCTCCCCCTCATCCTCGTTCTCGTGATCCCCCGCCTTCTCCAGGTCCTCGTCCTCCTCTCCCGCCCTCTGCCCTGTCGCCGACGACGACAGAGGCGACGACGAAGAGAAGAACGCAGACGGCCGAAGACGACGTCACAGACGACGAACCCGACGACAAACCGGACGAAGACGTTGATGACGACGACGACAAGATCGACGACGAGACCGTGGGCGAGGACGGCGAGATCAGCAACGACGACGGAAAGCCGTCGGCCGGCTGACCGGCACGCGGGCGGCCACGCGCCGCGCGCGAGGTCCGGTGCGGAGGCCGACGCGACCAGGGTGCGCCGGGCGCCCAGGCGGGCGGCGGGCAGCTGGCCCAGGCTCGGCGTGACGACCGACAGCTGCGCGCCTGGTGGCGGCGCGGCCGCGGCGCGAGGCCGGCGCTGGCGAGTCGGCTGCGGCGGCGGCGGCGACGGCGGCGCCGGCGACGGCGGCAGCGACGGCGGCAGCAACGGCGACAGCGGTGGCGGCGGCGGCGGCGGCCGCTCCTGGGGGCCTCTCCAACATCGCTGCGTGCCATCGGCCTGCCTCGGTGCGGGTGTCCTCGGTAAGGATAGTGCACCTCCCAGTGCATCACCACCGTCGCCACTGTGGCAAACGCGGCCTCGACTTCAAGATCGCTGCCGGGGGCAAGACCACACTGGGAGGGCCTGCGCAACCACGGCTTTGAAATATGGGCGCACGCGAGGCGCCCCCTTGCATGAGACCGCGATCTCGCCAAGACGAGAGAGATTCCATCCGTCGACCGCGCCTGGCAAGCCGTGGTTGGAGAAGCGCACCCGCAGGGTCTGAAGGGTCGTGGAGGACATTCAGAGGAACAGAAAGCGGCATAAACATCAACTTTCGGCGCTCAGCGCGGAATTCTTATATCTACGCTCGACACCCCTCTCTGGCGCGCCAGGGGCGGCGCCGGAGGCGCCGCCAAGGGGGCCCAGCGCAGATCCCAAAAATCCGCGGAGCACGGAAAATTTATGTGCATGCCGTTTTCACGGCTTCGAACAGCGAAGGCATATGCGAGGGCTTCCTGAAGCGCGAAGATCTTGTGATCGCAGCCAAGGGCGGCCGCGGCGACGAGCAAAGAGGCGTCGGCACTGGAAACCCGAACTGCTCAGTGCACTCTTGGATTTCGTAGAAAGGCGTACAACCGACAGGGAGGCTGGGGGCGAGGGGACCAGGCGCGCATCCATTACATATGTCCATCTGTTAATACGCCCCAGAAGCGCCGCCAGAAAGTGTCCTCGCTCCCCTGGCCCCGACCAAAAGAAGCAAACCGATCCAGAGAAGCACAGAGACGCAAGGATGACCATGACAACACGACGCCACGACGCCGGCCACCTAGCTTGGAGCCTCTGGATGGGCACCAGGGGCTCCGAGGAGAACCAGCCTTCCAGTCACGGTGTCCTCCGCCGAGCCTGGCAACCAATCCCCCGCGGTGCAGCCACACGCCACCTGGAGGAACAGAGCAGCAGGATCAGGACAGGGGGGGGGATTGGCAGAAAGGGAATGCGGAAGGGGCGGCGGGGGGGCGAAGAGAGGAACGAGGGAAAGGGGGGGAGGGGAACGAAAAGTAGGGGGAGGGAGGCAAGGAGGAGGACGAGGAGGAGGAGGAGGAGGAGGACAAGGAAGAGGTGAACGAGAATGACGAGGAGGAGAGGGTCGAGTAGGGGGTCGAAGCCGAAGTCACGGAAGACGACGACGCAGCAACGGCGGGGCACGCCTGCGCCGCTGCCGCCCAGCCCCGGCAGGGACATCCTGGAGCCCCCCCATCGGCCCTACCACTCTGCCGCCGCCGGGCGCGGTTTTCCTCCATCCTCTCCCGCCCCTCTCGTCTCCCCACCTCCTCCTCCTCCTCCTCCTCCTCTTCCTCCTCCTCATCCTCCTCCTCATTCTCCTCCCCTCCCACTCCTCCTTCTCCGCCTCCTCCTCCCCAACCTCTTCCAACTCAACGTGTACATCCCCAAGCTCAACGTATTCCTCCTCCTCCTCCTTCTCCTTCTCCTCCACTCCAAGTCATCGTACACCTCCTCCAACTCAACGTGCTCCTCCTCCTCCTCCTCCTCCTCATCCTCCTCCTCCTCCTCCTCCTCCTCCTCCTCCTCCGGCCTCACTTCTTCCAACTTATTGTACACCCCCTGCTCAACGTATTCATGCTCCTTCTCCTCCACCACCACCTCCTTCTCCCACTCCTCCTCCACCGTTTTCATCGTCTCCCTCCCTTTGTGCTGGGCGCGGGGGGGGGGGGGCGGGAGGGTTCACAGGCACCGCCCCTCCCAAAGGCCGAACGTGGGAAGGTTGCCGCGGGGGGGAGGGCTTTACGAAATCACTGCTGATGGTGGCTTCTGCGGTCGCCTCCGGCGCAGACATTCCACGCTCGTCTCAACTTCTTTTCCGCGCTCCTCCCCGTCGCTCTCGTCCCCCTCTTCCCCAAATTCGATTTCTCATCCACACTCGTCCTCTCCGCCCTCCCCCACCGGAATCTACTCTTCCTTGATCCTCATCCTGCGCTTCCTCCTTCTCCTCCTCCGCCCCCGTCCTTCCTCCTTCTGTTCAGCACTCTTCGTTCAACCACAAAACCTGAAACATGCACATTGTCGATCGGCTGACCGTAGTAATCATGGCTTTCCGCACTTCTCCGCCGTGTCGCCTTCTTCCTCTTGTCGTTTGCCCTGGATGCGCGATCAATCGTGCTTGATTTGTGTAACACCTACTCGAATGAAAGGCACTACCCTTTCGGAACGGGGCTACCGATTCCCACCTTAGCGCCGCACGCATTCATAATAAAAACCTTCAGCGGCTACAGGGATGGAGGGCAATATCTTGTCAACGTTGGGCTGTCGCCTTACTTCCGTACGCGGTCGCGCTAAGAGTTTGCAGCAGTAGCCATGTTGGTGGAGGGCGGTTGGTTTTCAACACAGGGCCTTTGCCACACAGCCGCGCGCATTCTTCTCGAACGTGAGCAGCAGTGGGAAGGATCGAACCTTTGTTTCCTTCCGACAGTGCATCAGAAAGAAGTTCCAACCATTGGATGTTTCGAACGGTATTGAGGACGATCGTGAGGTCGATCGTGAGTCCGAATAATGATGTCGAGTCAATGAAATCGATAGTGAGATCGATCGTTCAATAGCTCGCGCGACCCATAACATCTAAAATTTGTTAGACACCCCCCAGCAGTGGAAATTACCGTTTCGACTGCCTTATTGACGGACTTGGGCCCAACCAGCATCGAAAACAAATGATTCACCCGCGGCACCCGCCACGCAACAACGACGACGACGAGATGAAAAAAGAGGTTGTGAGCCACGCATTCGGCGAAGAATGGGTCGATGCATGTTGCAATCCTCTTACAAAGGTGCTCGAACATCATCTGTCGCGCACGGTAGCCCAGGGAGCATTATTTCTTGCGAGAAATTAAAACAGCATTATCCAGCAAGCCCAACCATCAAGAAAACAAATCAGCCGCGAGGACCACGACGCTTACGACTGCGACTACGGTCGCGACTACGATAACGACTACAAGCACGACGACAATTACGACTACAATCGCGACTACAATCACAATTACAATCACAAGTACAACCACGATCATAATCACGGCTACAACCTCAACCACTGACTCCGATCGCCATTTTCACGAGAGGATGCTTATTCCCTACCTGGGCTCTGCCTAGAAGGGTTCTTACTCTCTGGGCTTAAAGGGGCCGGGCAGCGGAAAGCGCCCCTGGCGGTTCCCCCAGTATTCGCCCCGCGGTTCCCCCAGTTATTCTTTTATTCCCTACCTAGGCTCTGCCTAGAAGGGTTCTTACTCTGTAGCGTAAAGGGGCCGGGCAGTGGAAAGTGCCCCGGGCGGTTTCCCCAGTCCCCTGGGAGCCAAGCAAAAGCAACAGCAAAGGTAAAAGCAAACGCGCGGTTCCTCCGGTTGCGCTCCCTGGGTGCCAAGCAAAAGCAAAAGCAACGGCAAAAGTGAGGGCAAAAGCGAAGGCAAAGCAAAAGCATAGCATAGCATAGCATAGCATAGCGCAGCATAGCATAGCGCAGCATAGCATAGCATAGCATAGCCTAGCCTAGCCTAGCCTAGCCCAGCAAAACATTGCGCAGCATAGCATGGCATAGCATAGCATAGCAGAGCAGAGCATAGCGCAGCACAGCATCCACTATTGCTGCTGCTATATATATATATAGATAGGAGAAGGACGGCGTTTACCGCTCCTACTAATGTTGCTTTCCTAGAGGCTCCAACTCCTAGGTAGGGTCGCACTGGGATAATTAATCCTCTCACGTACAGGGTGGCGCGCCACGGATGAGTCCCTTGGAGAACAAAATATCCAGCCCGCCCAACAATAGAGGGACATAATCTCCGCCGCGACGACGACGAGAACGGGGGGTAGGCGGACGAGGAAGAGGAGAAGGGGGAGGAGGAGGAGGAAAAGGAAAAGGAGGAGGAGGAAGACCGCAGGAGGAGGAAAACGGGCGAGTTTGTTCTCCGCCGAAATAAACAGGGCGGAAAGGGACCCAAAACTGAAGACCTCCTGCGGTTAACGAAATCGATTATAAGATCGATTGTGTGATCGATAGACAGCATGGTACTGCGATCTATCGTGAGACCGATCGATAAGAAGATCGACCAGGAACCCAAAAACTCCCAAACCCTGGAAACCCGCCACCGAAATCGGCCCAGAATCAGCAACGGGGAGCCCGGAAACCCGGAACCGAGAACCTGGGAACCGGGCCGCCCACCGAAATGGGCCGGAAATTGTCGCCAAATCTTTCCACATCCGCTAGGACCCACTCAATGCAAGCACTGATTGGACAACGCGGCTCTCGCCTGATACATCTCCGACGCGAACGACCAGAATCTTGAAAACATTGGCAACTGCACGGATGGATGGCGGTCCATCCTATATTTTGACATGTCCATCGTCATACGAAGGAGCGGAAACGAATCGACGGGCGCAAAATAGACACCGAGAGGGCGCGGCTCCTTTTCGCAACCTGGTTTTCTCTACAAGGCCCGCTGAACTCAATGACCCTCTCCTCTGACATCGCTTATGGGTTGACACGGGGCAGCAAATTCTTTTTCAAAGCCGTGGTCTCGCCAGAACGGCAGGACCAACATGTGCTCGTTTTCAAAGGTGCACTAGTTGCATTGGAAAGATATGCGACTATATACATGGAAGGGGGGAGCGTGGGACGGAAGGATGTAATGCATCATCGTTAATGCATCCTGGGGACACCCTGGTCCACACCCTCCTCCTCCTCCTCCTCCTCCACTTCCGCCTCCTCCTCCTCCTCCTTCTCCTCCTCCTCCTCCTCTTCCTCCTCCTCGCCATCTCCCCTTTATCCCCCAACCTCAGAAGCCTTCACAATACATGTCCCCCTCCGCCCACCACCCTCTTTTCTTTCATTCTTTCTCCAGGTCTACAGATACACAACAGCATGCGCCATGCATCCCAGCCCCAGTAGTAAACAAAAAAAGAAAGAGAGAGGAACATGGGCGGCCGCGTCTGCGCGCACACCTCGCGTTCCCTGTCCATCGGCGTGCTGCGCCCGAAAGCGCGCTTGGTGCTGGGGCCGATTTCCTTTCGAAGCAGGCCCGCCGACTTCGCAGCATCATTATGGCGGAGCCCTCGGGGGCAAGGATCCTGCAACATCTGCACGCGGTGCCAAGCGAAACAAACACACGTGGAGCACCAACCAACCGGGGGCCTGGGGTCTGAATCGCCCCCCCGCGACCCGGGGGGCCGACGGGCCCGGCGGCGAATCCTGGGCGGGCCCTGGCGCCGACAACTTGAGTGGCGGGTCCAGCTCCTTCCCCTTTTTCAGGATATCTTGCGCGCAGCCAGCCTTCGCCCCAACGCCCCAGGAGGCGCCCATTGGCCTCGGGACAGAGAACGAGCTGAATGACTAGAGGCCGTGGCCGCGCAGGCAATTTTCCCAACGTCTCTGGAACAGCGCGGCGGCCAGCCCTTCCGAGCATCGCGCTCGTGAGTCTTGAGTTGATCGCGCTCCTCACTGAACCTGAACATGACTTCGTCAGGGGCGGGGGGTTCTCCGGCAGCTGGCTTGGCCACCCTGTCTGCGACGCACGTCCCTTTCCACTCCCAGAACGAGTCCCCCAGGTCGAGGGCGGGGGGCCTGGGCTAATATGCGGGAACGTGGGCAACCGTCGCCTTGCCCTCGCGATCCCTCGCCCGGAAAAAAACAATATGCCCCCAGCGTCCGCGCGCGGAAGCCCAGAGACATCGGCGAGCGGCCTCGGGCCCAGGTCATCATCGCCGACGCGCAGTCCGAGGCGACCTCCAGACACCGGGGGCCAGAAAGCCTCGGCGCGATAGATCGACTGGAGAGGGCGGGGCGACGGGCCGCAAGCGCTTCCCTGGACTTGGCCAGCGTCGTCAATCATGCCCCCATCCGCCCGTGCTGCGACCGCGGAGAAGGCAATAGTTCCGGGCGCAAGGCCGAACCGCCCGCGCAGAAGGAGCCTCGCAACGCGCAGTCAGTGGGCCCAGCCGCCCACCTCGAGGCCGCGGACCGCCGGAGACGCGGCGCGCATCTGACAGGGGGGAGAGGCGGCATCGAGCAAGGAAAAGGTCTCCGCCAACGCTGCGCCTCCAATCCAGCAGTTCCGCGTCGAACCGGGGGCGGGCCCCCTTCCTCGCGCCCGTCGCGCATGGGTGGCCGCGCTGACGGGCCCATCTCGCTCCGGCGCCAAACTTACATTTCTCGCCAACAAGTTGCCGGTCTTTGCACGGCGC